AGGTCAGTAAAGTTTCCTGTTAATTTGCTAATTTGTTTCTATAATACCGCCCAGTGGCTTTTCATTTACCAAAATTTCATGTGAGATATTAAAAGTTTCTTTTAAAATATTTTAAAAATGAAAACTAGGAAGAAACATTGATAGAACAACTAAGGGCGGGTAATTTTGTAAAGAAATATGAGTGTTGGGTAACAGAGTTTTAACAATTTTCCGGTGGGGTTCAGAACGATGATATCCTTTAAAAATAATATAGACAAGGTTGGGTGCGCTTTAGAGCTCTACATAAATTAATGTTTCCTTTAAATGAATAGGATGCAAATGAAAAATTCTTATAATTTCTACCAGATCGCATTTAATTTAACAACCAAAACAAAAAAATTTTCTAGATCGAGGTGGAGGGCTGTCATCACGATGCACAGTATGCCCATGTACATCACTAGGAGAGTTGTTATGATGTCCATGTTGAGAAGACGGATGCCCATATCCAACATGCTGATGCACGAATTGATGAGCAATAGTGTTTCCTTTATATTGGAAATCTTCAATTTCATCATTCAAAAAATCCACGATTTCTTGCATATTTGGACGAATGTGATCATATTGTATGCACGCCTATAAATAATTAATTTAAATGTTAGCAGATTCACCTAGTAGCATTTAAATAGCTTAGGCGAGGTGCACGAACATAAGGATAAAAGAAAAAGCATTAGTGGGCACCGGAAGCTCAGTGGTAGAGCAACTTTGAATATGTGGTGAGCGAAGCGCCTAGGAATAACTACGAGGAGGTTGAAATCCTGCTCGGTGGTTAAAATTTGCTAAACTCTTACTAATGCACGATATTTTGTTTTATTTTTTTAAATTGATGAAATAAAATTTTACTTTTATAACTCGATCCAATTTTGTGTTATGATTGTCGTTTGATAAATATTCATTTATTTCAGGTATGTCTAAAAATAATTTTTGAATCACCATCTAGTTTACTTTATGCTTATTAAGTCTGAAAGTATTATCACAGCATGATAAATTCAGATAAAATTTGATTATGATAGCTTTTTGAGATATTAACGGAAAACAAGAGATATTTTTTGAAAATTACAACGTTAAAAATCAGTGAATATTTTTAATATAAAATATCACGTTTAATTTCTCCTAACATTACGCTATTTTGAATAATCTTTATATCATATTGTTCATTGAATAGGCTATAGACCATAATTCCAAAAGTAATAATGTCATATTTCTGAATTAGTTCTACATAATCCAGTGTATCCTGAAATGAAATTATCTAAAATTTTAAAAACTCAAGCTACCCCATAAAGAGCAGAAACATTAAAATCAATCAATTTAACATCAATAACATCAGAATTTGGATCGTGAGCAATAGAAACAACAAAGTTTTCGTATTTAATATCATCATACCTCCATCTAAATAATTGTATTTACATACTAGGATAATGAAGAATTATTATCACATTTATGAAATTGTGCAAGTGCTCTGGCTGCGCCTCTTACAATTTTAATAAGAAGTTCCTCATTGGATCTTGGCACTCCTATGCCCCCATCTTCTAGATTTCTTTCATAATAATAATCTTTTAAATTCTTTCCTCCAAGTTCTAATATTAAAAAATACATTCTATCATCTTCATCTTTCTCACTAAAAATTTATAAAGTTTATTAAAGATGAAAAATAGAATTGAAAAGATAAAAAATCAACTCTAAAGTGCCAAAATGTCTTCTCAATGGAACATAAATAGATGAAATAAAAACTTTTTTGTGTAGTTTATTTTTGTGGATATTTACAGTTTACTTATAGGTTCTAGGGTACTTTATGGATATGTCACCCCCCTCCCATTTTGAGTCTCAGAGTTTACCTTTAACGTAGAAAATGGTCAGAGATTATTTTCTTCTCCATGTCAATCATTTTTTTCTTCTTCTAGTAAATATTTGCTTGTTTATTTTGCTTTTTCACGTATTTTGTACTTACACTTCACTCATTTCGTTTCTACATTTACCACATTTCACTTATTTTGCTTGAAGAAAAGAAATGATTGACATGGAGATGACCATGATGAACATTTTCTACGTTTAAGGAAAACTCTGAGACTCAAAATAGGAGGGGGGTGACATATCCATAAAGTACCGGTTCTAGTTACAGGGCGTGAATATGCAGGGCATGAATATAGCTAGCCAAATCATGTCAATAAGGATTTGCATGCGGATATACCTTGAAGAGAGAATACCAAAATGTGATTTGGGAAAATATGTTGTTTAGAAAATATTTTTTGGCAATATTTTTTGAAAATGGCATTTTTCCCTTAAAAATTGAACTTTTTGCAAAAATAGACGAAAAATGCCATTTTCAAAAAATCATATCTCTGGACCGGAAAAAGATATTTCTAAGCGGTTTTGTGGTAAATACTCACAAAAATATGCTTTATCAAATGGGTTTGTTAAATTTTTTCAGAAAAATTTTTCCGAGGATAAAGGATTTGGTATATACGGTAGATCCGGATTATCTCGGCCAATTTTCAATTTCATGAAAAATGCAGAAACATGAAAAATGAAAAATGCAGAAACAGTCAGCTGAGATACAAATAGAGCTTTGGATTAATATATAGAACGTATTTTTTGACCTAGAAATAGTTAATTTTCATTTAAATTACTCTTGTCCCTATCTTTATATCGACTACTGTATATTTTTCAAAAATTTTTTAAAAAAATTTATAAAAAATTTCTAGTCGAAAATTATTAAATTTGTAATTTTATTTTTTTCTGTAATTATTAATTTTTTTAATTATTCAATTTAATAATTATTATAACTAAATTTGTAAATAATAGCGCAAAATTAATATATTTAACATTTTATTGCTTAGCTTATCAAAGATAAAATTAATACTTACTATCCAAGCAGTTTAGTAATATGATTCCTTTCAGAATCATCAATCCCACTTAAAAATTTTAAAACAGCAAGTTCTTGTTTAAAAAGTTTTTGGTAACCAGATTTATATATTTTTATAGCCATACAAGTAAAAGTATTATTTTTGCCTATCGAATGTGCATGGTAAACCTTTACAACAAATAATTTAAATAAAAATTTATTATAGTAGGTATAACTAAATTGAAAATTAAATATGAAGAAAAAAATTTTCAGCCATCAAAGTTGAAATAACTGACAAATTTTCATAATTACGCTCAAATGTAATTTCTATTATTTTGATTTTGAATTTTTTATGCATGGACAAATTAAAATTACTATTTTATTAATAAATAACTTGCAGTGCTATAGACACCAGATCCAATTATATTTGAAGAATTTGTACCAGAAGCAATTATACTGGAAGTAGTATATCTCAATTCCATTACTTTTCCATCAATTCCTTCAATATATCGTGTTTCTCTTTCCAATTGCTTTCGTGAAAACTCACAAGCTTGTTGCCCACCATGAAAAGTTGACACACCTTAAAATTAAATTTATTCAGAGTCTCGGTGGATGTATTAATGATAGTCATCTTTTTTGATACAATTTATTTTTTTAATTGTAGAATCCACATTTTTAAAGAAATGTGAAGGCTAATAGCCTGTTTTGTCAAAAACAGCAAAATCTAAAAATCAGATTTTCTAGCAAAGTAAATTGAAGAAAAAATTAAATGATAATACCTTTTGACCCTATACGCAAATAAGGGTTAATCGTTTTTTTTCCTTCATTTTTTCCTTTCCATATTTTTCCTTATTTTGTACATTATGGTCACTTTTTCCCTCGTTTACTTCCAATGAATTTCCGTGTGGCATATTCAAATGAAAAGATTAATAAAACACGGACGGAAACGTACAGACAGAACAAGGACAAAGACGGACGAACAAAACACGGGCAGTCAAAGTTAGAAAGGAAAAATATGGAAAGGAAAAAATGAAGGAAAAATCACCCTTATTTGCGTATAGGGCCAACCTTTTCCTTTATCTATTTTTTTGTCTCGATCAACACATTTTATTGAAGAAAACTCATAAAATGACAATATTAAAAAAATTAGCAAGTTTTTTAATTCCATTTTTTCTTTATTCTAAAATATAATTTGAGGATTATTAATATTGTAGGACTCTAATGTCCTTTCCCAGGAAATATTGAGCTTGGAAAGACTTTACCCGAAGGACTTTGTTCGATCATATTTCCGTTCACATTATTTCAACCAATTTACTAGCTTTTGTCCCTCCCCTTTAATGTTTATTTAAACGATTTAATCACAGTTATACACGGTTCAGTTGTATTAAATTATTATTTATTATGTGCTAGCTAGCGATTATATTATTGTCCACATTTCCTAGTTTGTGAATAAAGCGCTTTAATCCACTTTGGTGTGTTCGGTGTTTAGGAAGAGTCTAAGGGACTTGATCAACCCCAAAGGTCTTCTAGGATTGTCCCGATCACATCCTCTCCCCTTGTATCCTATAATAACTGGGAAAGGGCCCACCGCTTCGGCGCATAATTAATAGTGGGAAGAGTTCTATTTTACTGGTAGCACCGGCTAAGATTCTCGCCGGAGGAGCAAGGGGATGAGAAAAATTATAAGAGAAACTAGGTAAAAGCCCGGGCATAATATTTATAATAAGATAAACCGGTATAAAAATAAAAAAAAATATGAGGCAGGCCGTAAGACCCAACCTTCGGGTTAATATTTGATAAGAAAACCGGTATAAAAAAATAAAAGTAATAATTTATAAGGCAGCGCGTAACTAACCTTCGGGTTAAATATATATATATATATTGAAATATTAGATAAATTAATGAAGAAAAAATAATAATATTTATATTTTAATTAAAAAAAATCCTTCGGGGAAAAGATAAACAAAAATAAATTTATAAGAAAAACTAATAAAAAATCCTTCAGGAACACAATAAAAATATACCTTAATAAGACTTTAAAATTTATATAAAAAAATGAGTTAACCAAAAAAAAAATTTAAATTTCAAATTGTTAGTACCTCCTCATAAAGGCTTAATTTTCCAAAATTTCAATAAATCATACATATACTTCCAAACTCAATAAAATATTTAAAAAAAAACCATTTTTCCCAGCTTATCACTTATTACAATATTGTAAACATCCGGCAAACAATATTAAAGAAATATTTTTATTCTCGTCTATTCACACATATTACAACAATTCAATCACACATTATTAAAAAAATCTTTTTAATGGAACCTTAACATTAATAACTTTCGCTGAGACTATGATTCATTCTTTTATTTATAAATTTTTATCTGTTAAAAAATAGTTCTTTTATTTTATTTATTTTTGATATTGTTTTCAGAAATTATTCAACGACTAAAACATCAATTTCAACAAATTAAAAAAAAAATAAAATTTCAATTTCAGCAAATTCAACTTCAAGTTGCAGTATAAACCCTTCGGGGAGGAATTCTCTGATCGTAAGTTAAATACAAGATAATAAAACGAGATTTTTTTAAGAAGATCCATCTATCAAAAAAAATTTTTTTTTTCAGAACAGAAATACTAGTTCTAATATTTCGATATTTCAGACATTTTGGTGTGTGACTTCACTTCAAACTACTGTTTATTTCAAACTTTTATGCTATTCGTTTTTTTGAGGAATTATTTGAGGAGGAACAAATATTGGAATTGGATCTTTCATCGGTACTAGCTGGACTGTGAGTTAAAAAAAAAAGCTTTTTATTGAACTTTAAATTAAAGAAAATATTTTTTTATATGAAACAATTTTCAATCTGGATATAAAAATTTAAATTATCAATCTAATTCTTTGATTTTTCAGGTTCTCAACTCGTCTACTCAAAAATCCTTCGGGAATCGACAACTTGTGTGGTATTATGGGAATTTTCTACATCGGCTTTATAATTCAGTCAGAAGGTGAGTCAAATAAAACATAATAAAACAAACTTTTTAAGTAAATTTGTTCTGAATTTTTTTTTTATACAATCTGTTTTTTCATTAAAAATTTATAGCATTCAAACTTAGACATTTGCAGACAAATCGAGACCCAAATGACTGAAAATTAGTTTTATTAGAACCAGGAATTATTTTATGAGAACAATTTCAATTCCCCTTTCAAAAAGCGCCATTTAGGTGGTAATTTAATCTGCAAATGTCTCCTAAATGAGTTATTCTCCCAATAAAATCCATGTTATTAGCGAAAATTAAAGACAAAATTAATTATATTTTTTTTTCTCACTGCTTAATCAAAATATTTATAGTATCAGCTAATTAGTTTTTCTTCTATTTTTCTATTTCATTAGTATTTTATAAAAGTTTATTTTGGTATTTGTAGGCCTAATAGAAGTAATTCAAAAAAATGAAATTTAGATAATTTTATGTAATCTAGGTTATTTTAAAATAATGGGGGTTATTTAACTGAATATTTGTTATTTAATAATTAATTTCATATCTCATCTTTCATTCTAGTACTTCAAATTCACAAATACGCTTACAAATTAAAAATACTCGATATTATTCAGAATATTCCTTTTTATTATTAAGAATTGTTTTTATCGGAATATTTTTACTAGTTTTTTTTATATAGTAGGTCTGATTGTTTTTTTTAAAAAAATCTTCTATTGTTAATCAAAACGTTTTAGCACTATTTTTCTGCCAAACTAATTTTTTCTCTCAAGTAAAAAACAAAAGAGATTAAAAACTAAAAATAGATTAAGTCAGAAAGAAAAATATAAAAGAAAATCAAGGAGAGAACAATCGAATAAGTTTTATAGATTAGAATGTACTATGATTTAGAAGCATTTTGTGTAAAATATGGAAATTTTAGTTTGTATTAAAGAGTTTTTGTTTTTTTTCAAATGATCTGAAAATGATGATAATTTCATTGACCTTTAGGGGAATTAAATATAAGAGAATGATTTTTCTTCACGAAGCCACTTGATTCTTTACATTACATATAGATAGACCAAATCTAATTCTCGGGTTCTTCCATTTTTTTCTTAATTATTGCAAGCTCACTTCAAAAATTTATTTATTTTTAGTGTTTTGTCGTTTTTAGCTCATTTCCTTGTCAAATTAATTTTTTTCTTTCTCTCCGTTTTTTAAAAAAAACTAGAATACATTTTAATATTTTAATTAAAAAAAGGAGAAAGGAACTTTTAGCTGAAGATCTGTAAAACATTAAAAAAATTCAACTTAAGTCAGCGAGAGAGATAAATGACAAGGAAATGAGAAAATTTAGAAAGAAAAGATCTGTTAGGAATTGCTTTCACTTTCTATATAAAACTAAAAAGGATTTTTCTGTGTTAATAACTTCTAAAAAGGCTTATCGGATTTTTAACTTTCCGGAAGAACTGAAAAATGGAAATAATTTTACTAACCCTTAGGGGAATTCAACATAAACATAAAAGAATAATCTGATTTTCGGATTTCTTAGTTTTTTTTTTCTTTTTTTTTAATCAAGATTAGCGCTTAAAAACATCTTTTTATTATTTATTTTTCCTGTTCTGTCAATTCCTAATACTAGAATACAAATTTAAAGAAAAACTTTAAAAATAGAGATTAAGTCAGAAGAGAAAATAAAGAATGGAAATACAAAGTATTCAATTCTTATTTAAGGTTTAAAATAATATTTAGAAAGAAGTCTAGACTAGGAAGTACCTTGAATTAGCAAATAAAATTTAAGATAATAATTTATTTCCGTGTAAATTAATATAAAAATGAAGAGTATTGCAGTTTTAGAATCTCCGAAAATCTGAAATTGTAATTAAGTTATTAACCTTTAGGGGTATTCAATATAATGGAAGAATTTTTTTTTAAAGAGTCATTTAACTCTGGACACCTAATCATTACGAGATGTCTTAAAAAATTTATTTTATCAATTTTAGCTCATGAACATATTTGGTGAATAATTAATAATCAATCTACCGTCTGTTGAGTTTGTTTTTAACAGAGAAAGTTTCTTTTACTCAAAATCTTACTCTCCATCAAGAGAGCAGTAAAGTTATTTTTCGTATACTAGAATGTAAATTGAAAAAATTAGAAACAAATACTTAGGTTAGAATGTATTTTGATTTTGTAAAAATAGTTTAAAAGAATCTTCTTGAAAAAAATAGATTTTCCGAACAAACTTAAAACGGGAATTGCCTTTAGGGGAATTAATTAATAGTTAATTTTTAGAAGTCATTGCAGTCTCCAAAGTGCTATTACATACAAAATCTGGGTTCTAGTTTTGAATTGGTATTTGTAATCACAAGCCTGCTCTAAAAATCCTCTTTTTTTACTTAGTAATTCTTTTTAACTAATTCATTAATTTTTTTTTGTAATCTCTTTCTGATAGATGAGGAATACATACATGTCTAGTTTAAAAAAAGAAACAATGATCGATTCTTTTATTCTGGCAATTACGCGGTAAAATCCTTCTATCTCGGGATTAACATAAAACTGTTTTGAATTCCACTCTAAATACTTAGAAAACATGAATAAAAATAGAGTTTATAACAGAAGGGAGGACATTAAAGAAAAGGAAATAGGAAAAATCTTGAGTATGAAATTTGATTTTTTAATATGTATTTATAAAGTTAAAAGGAAATCTCAGTTAATTAACAAAAAAAAAAGATAAGTTTTTTTTATTAACCTTAGGGGATGCATCATAAAAGAATGACATTTTTAAATCCACTTTAGGCCGAACCTAGAGATTTGCGGAAATCTATTTTTCGGTTTCTGAAGTTGGGTTTTAATCATGACGAGCTCGCTTATAAACAATTCTTTTGTTAATTATTTTTATTTTTTTCAACTAACTTGTAAAACTTACGCGAAAATATCAGTTCTTTCGGAATTAACATTAAGTTTTTTGCCTTTATGATACTATTAACTAAGTAAAACATAACATATCCCTGATTAAGGATATTGAAATTTTTGAAAAATTTACTTTAAGTAATTATTATTTACTTTTGTAACCCTCGAAAATTTTTTCTAAAAAAAAAGTATAATTGACTTCTTCAAATTCTTTAAAAAACATTTTTTCTGATTATTGAATTATCATCATTTTATTCAATCAATTTAAAATAAATAGATTAGCAAATAAACTTTAAAAAAAAATCTTTAAAGCTTTCAAATATTTTTCTTCTACTTATAACGAAATTTAAGAAGACTGAAATTCTATTTCACATGTTTCTAAACGTATTATCTTTTGTTGCAAAGTATATGTAAACTGTATTTTACTTAGGTAATTTTATCAAAAAAAATTTTTTTTCCGTTTTTACCTTCCTTATTTTTTTATGTATTATACACCAAAATATAATTTTTTTCCTACGTACATAAATATACGAATTATTTAACAATACGAAGTTATAAAAACTACTCAATCCTCTCTTTATTAATTATTTCGCATCTATAAAAAAGGGTTATTCGTAATAACAAAAATAAAGAAAAAACAAAGTAAGGATAAGAGTTGTTTTTATATTTATCTCTTTAAAAAAATATATGTTGCTTAAGTTAAACTTTTAAATTATATTATTATTAGTTTTAATAAATTTAATATTTTTTTTCTGTAATCCTAAAGATATAAAAAAGAGACAAAATTAATATAAAAATATTAATTTAAGTGAAATTTTTTTTTTAAATTTCTCTCTTTGAATTTACAAACTTCATTAAACAAGACATATTTTTATCATATTGTCAATGCCTCATAATTGAGTTTTATAACACTTCGGTTTTAATAATTTCGATTCAAAAAAATTCAATTATTCTGATAGGAAAATCAGTAAGAAAATAAAGGATTTTTGATGCGTTTCACTTTTATTTAATATGAGTGTTCATATTATTCTTCCTTTATGTAAAATTTTTCCTTAGTCAAAATTAGCTCTCTTTAAATTATACTGTTATAGCTTATACATTATTGTAATTTAAAAAAAAAGAAGAAAAGTAATTAACTGGTTTTGAAACTCAAACTCCAATTTTTAATTATTCTCTGATGCAATGTTGCATTAATATTTTATTCTCATTAATAATTTTTTTTTACTCTCGGGGAATAGATTGTAAATTAAGGCTTTAATTTTATTGCTTAGATAACACAATGAAAATATTACTTAGGGTCGAGCTCAAATCCTAGTATTTTTTTCATAATAGATATTGTAATTACTAAATAACAATAACTGAAATTCATAGTTTCTATCTTCGAGTAAATTTAATTTTTCTTCGGTTAAATTATATAAAAAAAAATTTTTTTTGTAATATTCTTTGAATATTTAGGAATTTTATTTTTAGATAATTTTTTGTAAGTATTTTTAGAAAATAAGCAATATTTCAACGCATATGACATTTTTTCATAAAAGAAAGGGTTTATCATTGCTGTTTTTCAATTTTTAAGCTCTGAAGTAATGTTTAACAATTTCTTTTGTTCTTTTATTGTTATTCTTAAAAAACTTCCATTAACAAACATCTTCTACTGAATAATCAAGTGCCAATAATTTCCTTTACCTGGATTTCCCAGTTGTTTGGGGCATTTAACAAAACAATTAA